CCCCTCCTGGGGCTGGGCACTCCCGCGGCTGCGGGCCTCGGAGGTGCTCCCAGGGAGGGGATTCTTCCCCCGCCTCCCCGGCAAAAGGATCAGCTTTCAACCCACGCAGGAGGGTGTTTGATTCACCCAGCGCTTCTTGCTGCCGCTGGCAGCTCCCGCTGCCTCCCTGTCATCCTCAAACTGCCGACCTACCCTGCAGCAGGTAGCATCTGCGTTTAAGAGAGGTCTCCATCCCGCAGACCCGCTAGGAATCAGGAAATAGGACTTTTACAAGGGGATGTTGATACCCAACACACACTTTCCCTAAGCACCTCAGTCATTTTAAGTAAGCGCATGCCCAAAGAGGTAAGAATCTGCAGCCAAAACATAGAGCCTGGCCTGAAATTTAGCAGCCGTTTCCCAGGCCCATCTCCCCAGCAAGGCAGCTGTGCACTTTCCGTGCACTTTGCTTTCCTGCCCTCCAGTTTATGCTCCTTCTTTTGTGGTGGCAAAAGCGGGGTGGACGATGTGTGCTCTCTCCTTTGAGCTCCATCGAGATGCACAGATGCATGTGGCATAGCCATGCCGGAGGCCCAGGGCCCCAGAGGCAAGGAAAGGGGGTTTGTTGGTGCACTAAGCATCTTTTAACATTGAGACAAGGGAGATTTCCATTTTCAACTCACTCTTATGCTGGGGAAGAGGTTAAATCCTGTTTCCTTCCAATCACCGTCACACTTCACCCATCAAACTCCGGCCTGAGCTTTGTAGTTTGATGGGTGACTTTATGTCGATACTCCTCACCGTTACAGCTATCTCGTCTACCAGTTAACCTGAGAAAAGTAAATACGTTCATATATTCAGCTTTTCCTCTAAAGTACTTTAATTCTGATGATAATTTGATTGCATAAAATGTCACGTTACTGCTGTTTAATCGGTGTTTTATTTCTGTCACTTCTTTCAATGGGAGGAATAAAACGACAATTAATTATACTGTGCGACATCGACCTGCCTTTTCCTGAGCTGAAATAAAAGTTTCAAGCATGACATCAACCAGTTCATCAAGCAAAGCACAAACTGTCTCTGACACCTGCCTTTACTTGCCATGAAGCAAGAACCTGCTGCCAGCATTTTAAAAGCATATGTTTGATAACAAACTCCTTCCTGCACCATCTCGTGCCGTTATTCCCGTGAGAGCAGTTTGCTCTGCAAAACCCTGCCCGTGATGTCAGTCCTCGCCGCTGCGTGTTTTGGTCCCCAGAACTCCTTTTCAGGGACTCATTTCTCAGCAGGTTCAAACTTGACTTTCCGACCCTCTTGGCCTCACCCTCTGCAGCGCATTTTTTTTGTGGATTCAGGATCAGATAGAGGTTTGGGAGACTTTTAGCAATTCAGTCATCTCAGCTGTTCTCTTGTCCCCCTGCAAAACTTCGGAGTCTCGTTTTCCCGACCCTTCTCTTGTGTTGCATTATCCCCTGCGCTTCCGCTTGCACTGTGGCAATCATGACCGATAAATCTGTCCAGTTCTGCTGGCCTTCTCCCGTAGGGGGTTTCACACATGTTGCCCAGATCCGCCGTTAGGGAGCAGAGTCAGGAGCCCGCATGCTGGGATGGACCGGGGGCAACAGGCAGGATGCTCTCACTGGATCCATCCTTGGCGTCACCCCTGGTGTCGAGGGATGTTTTTATCCTTATCTCTATTGTCACCTTCCTTTTTTTCACAGGCTGCTCTTGTCATTTAAGAACCTCCCTCTGTTTTTCCTCTGTTTTCCACTTTCTTTGCATGTTTGTCCTCCAGTAGTTTGCAACACCCTTGTATCCTCTTCATGGCTCTGTTTCCAAAGGGACCGCTCCATTTCTACCATTCATCTTCCTCCTTTGACTCTCCTCTCTATGTCCATTCGCCAGTAAGGTTTTTCCTTTACTGCTTCCTTTTTGTGCATTTTATCTGCAGCTTTTATATTTGCATCTTTAAACTGCTCCCGTGCCAAGCAAGTCCTTCGGTACTTATCATCTCCTTGATCCCTCTGTGGAACCTAAGGCATAAGGCATAAGGCTAAAGGCTTAGAACGACTGAAGAAGCGACGAGAACCCGTGATGAGGAGAAAGCCTGCCGGCATTGTGAGCTGCAGACACAGAAAGGGCATCAGGGTCAGGAGGACAAGGCCGGGCAGGCAACATCATTGTGCTGGGGAAGGGGAACGCTCTCTGTTCCTCTTTAGGACCAGCTGAAAGGGGTGAGTGACTGCGTTTGTAAGAGGGGTGGTGTGTCCGATGGGATATTTCCAAGCATGACCTTCCTCGGGAATCTCTTCAACCTTCCTGCAACTAAGCACACTTTGCTTTTAGGCCTAAACACCCTTTTTTCATCTCAGCCTCCCCCAACATCAGAAACACTTTGTCAGGGAAAGATGGATTTGTCCTAGAGGGCCACTCCAGCACTGGGCAGTTGAATTTTGAGATTAAATTTTACAGCCAAAGAAGAATTCATAGCTGACCTAGAAGGAGGGTTTTTTCCCCCAGCTTTTACCCATCAGGATTTGCTGTCATTTACTGCTTGTGTCAGAGTTGCACCGCAACTGAAAAGCCAGAAAGGGAGGGAGGAAGTGATGATGAATGTAAGTTAAAAACGTAGGGAAGCAGCAGAAAACAATGCAATAAAGCTAAAGCAAATAAGAAAGCATTTTTTTAAAATTGATTGTGGACTCTATAAGAACTTAGGCCAGGTACTTAGCTGTCAGTGCAGATGGCAAAATGAAAGATGACAACGCAGAGAGAATAACATGGCTCACTAAGTATTCCTGCTCTGCAGCAGGAGCAAACCAGAGGACATATCCATCCCGTATGATATTGTGGACTGAATAGGAAATTTCCCCTCTGTAATACAGGAGGATAAAGGAGAAGAGAAACCATTGCATGACTTTTGGAGGAACTTTGTGTGTTTGTAGTATTTTTGTACAGGATGACGGTGATGATGGGACATGTGGTGCTGTAGATCTTGGTTTCTCCGAGGCTTTGGACTGAGCACTGTGGGGCATTTGCATCCAAAACCTTGCGCTGGTCAGAAAAGGCAGGAGGCATATCAAATAGATTAAAACCTGGCATGCTGACAGTTGTTAATGATATAATGATGACTGATTCCCGGCCCAACATGATTTAATATTTTTATCAATAATCAGGTAGTATAAAGCATTTACTGACAAGGCTCAGTGAGGCAGCACTTTACATGGTAAATAAAGGGGACTGGAGTCAGCTGAATGCTCTTAAATGCTCACAGTCCACCGAAGCCTGATACAAAAGTTTTATTTGGAAACAAGTAATTCAGGTGATCTCTATCAGACGTGTGATCCTGTCCTGCCAAGCAGTGATTCAGAGACAGGCGGAGGGGCCGTTACAGGTAATCTCTTCCTGGGGAATGCTATGGAAAGTCTGGTCCCAAAGTGCAGAGAGAGGCAAATATTAAACAGCGGTTGAGATGTGCTCTTGCACTGAGCGCTATTGGGCTATGATGTCTGGTTTCAGTATTCGCGCCTCAAAATTATTAATAGATACACTGAAGAGCTTAAAAGAGGCGAAGAGAAATGAATCGGGAGCTGGAAATGTGAATTCAGAGTTTAATTTAGCTAACAAATTGGTGAAGGTGGCTCCATCACCAGGTAGGGACTTTCATGAGGAAAAGACCAGGGGGTTGCAGCCTTTCTGG